TGATCGAACAAAGAGTGTGCTGCAAAGAGCCTTTTTCTCATTGGGTGCTTGCATCAATGCTTTTGTGCATTGTCGACCTGTTCTATGCATAGATGGAACTTTTATGACAGGTAAATACCGAGGTCAGATATTGATAGCAATTGGGTGTGATGGGAACAACCAGGTTCTACCTATGGCTTTTGCATTTGTAGAGAGTGAGAACACTGAAAGCTGGTACTGGTTCCTAGAGAGAGTGCACATTGCAGTGGTGCGTATGAGGCCCAACGTTTGCCTTATACATGATCGTCATGCGGGTATGTTGCGGGCTATTGACTACTTGCAGAACGGTTGGGATGAGAAGGGACTTCCAGCTAAGTGGCCTGATATTCGGAGTCGGTGGTGCATGCGTCACATGGGTGCAAATTTCTACAAGCAATTCAAGAACAAGCATCTTATGGAGCTCTTTAAGAGGCTCTGTGCACAGAACCAAGAGAAGAAATTTAATGAGTTGTGGGACAAGTTGGATGAGTTGACAACGAAGCAAACAGATGAGCAATCTCGCAGACCACTAGTTGAAGGTGACGAGCCTCCCATACCTCTTGGTGCATTACATGATGACCCACCAACAATGAGAAGGAGGTCAGGGTCGTCCATCAGACTTCGTGTTCGAGTTTGACCGTCTCCAGCCGAGCGACGTCATCTGGGAGCCGTACACAGAAGAGGCCGTCGCTGCGAGAGCACCGCTAGGACTTTCGTCCTTGTGCACACGCGACCAGGCTTACTGACTCACCATCCTGCCGATGGTGTTCGACATTTTCGTTGAGCCTCACTGCCCGCAGCGTGTGATGAGACAGTTCGGACTTAGGCAGGTGTTTCCGGGCAACGTGCAGCCGACCGTCCTCCCTGCCGACCACTCGTGAGTTCGGATTGTTCATTTCTAAATTTTTATGATAATTACTTCATCGAGCCATATAATTTACCTCTCTTCACAGGTTGACTCGACGGGGACAGCTAGCAGGCGCACTTTGGGCTCCACGTGTACAGCAGTACGTTGACGACTGGGTGTTAGCTACAGAGGAGGTGATCAACGAGCTCTTCCCACACACGGAGGAGAACTACCGTGACTACCTTCGTTGGTACCTTCCTCGCACTCGTGCGCGTGTGACCTTCACTCCAGACGCCCCAGAGCCGCACGTTGCCGCTGTCACGGACGCGTATCCCACGCACCGTGACCGAGACTACTTCGTGGCGGTACATCCAATTTGTATTACTTCTTACAATTATTTCATTTATCTTGCATAATATAGGACAACTACTGAATTTGTTATTTCCATCTTGCATAGGCTGATGCCGCACGGGATATCAGTGCCGATATCACCGCAGTCCAAGTGAGGTTGAACAGAGGTTTGCACTTGACTGACGTTGAGCAGAGGGTGACCTTCGACCGGATGCAGGAGAAGATGCGTGCGGTCATGCGCGTCTTCTCCTGTCGCAGCGCCGTGGACGTCGTACCTCCAGCTGGTCCGGTACAACCACGGCCTCGCGCGCCTACCGTCGGAGCAGGACCTCGACCTACGGCACCTATTTCGCACGGTACTGCTCAGCCCAGAGGTTTCTTAAGTTTTGTTTCTGTTTTTGTACGAAAACATCACCCCGTCGTAACTTGATGATCCATCCTCGCAGGACCTCGTTTGCCTTCGAGCGCCCCTAGCTTCGGATCAGTGCGACCTACAGCACCGGTTTCGCACGGTACAGTTCAGCCCAGATATTAGTTCATTTTTGTTTCAGCTTTTGCACGATTATGTCACCATGTTTTAACTGCACGTTTCCTCATCGCAGGACCTCGTCTGCCTTCGAGCGCGTTCGCAGGCACGACCGGCGCTTCCACGAGATCCGCAGGGGCGTTCGCCACCTCTTCGGGCGCGTTCGCCAGCTCTTCCTCTCACGGAGCGTCGATCCCTCGCCCACACGGTACTTTACTTTTTATTAATACTGTTAAATACCTGTACGAAACTGATGGTCCTTGTCCAGCAGAATTTGCAGCCGGGATCTTCGGTACTGGGGCCTCTTCGTCTCACGCCGGTAGGACTGGTCCTACTAGCCAGTTCTACGACGACGACTTGCACGGTGCAGACCACCACGACGTACTAGGCTCCTCTCAGCTTGGAGGAGCTCCAGAGGCGCACACTCAGGAGCAGCCAGAGGTCACACCTGTACAGGCAGGACGGGTTGGCCGTGCCGTACCCCCGGACCGACTCACGTACTCCCACGGGCACATTAGGGCGCAGGGTAGGAGGGACAGGGGTAAGAGGCCTCGTCAGTAGTGTTCTACCTCTTCAGTCCTTATGTGACCGTTTCTTTTGGCTTACAAACTTGTAAAGCAGTACTACTTTTGCTATTACTACTGCAGTACTACTTGTGTTTGTCTCGTCTACATAGTTCTTTTCATTCATATGGTGCTAGAACAACTTATGCTCACGACAACACACTTTCGGCGCTGCACGGTAGTGTCAGATCCAGTAGCGCGCACAGTCCACAACAGCACACATGAAAAGCGGCAGCTCGAGTTATCACTATCAACTTTCGGCGCTGCCTGTTTACATAAAATGAATCACGCCCACGCGTGATCGTCTTGTCACATCTAATGAATAATGTATCTCATTGAGTTCACATATATTGCAGTGAAAACGACGCTATATAATTGACAATCTGAAGGCAACCTCTTCATATCTTCTTTCCCACTAGCACACAACACACGAAAATGGAAGCCTATTCATTGGTAATACGTAATCTAGATTTGAGATTATGTAGAACATTCTTCACTACAATTTTACATTTTGGCAGCAAACCAAACATGATCAAATGCAATTTTACCTTACCAAATATTTGGTCGTGAAGAAAAATTTGGCACTAACAATCCAAATATGCCCTAAAAATTAATAAAATATTTGTACGGTAACAAAATATTTGTACGGTAACAATCCAAATATGCCCTAAAAAATAATAAAATTGTATTTTACCAGTCTTGGAGATTTTAATCTTGTATAGTTTTAAATATAAAAAGATTTGATAACTATTGATATTTATACAAAAATATAGAGCACAGTACAAAATCGCCCTTGCGGAGGGCGGCAAGGGGGCCGCCTGCAAAATTCCATGCCCCCTCGCCGCCCATTTGCAGGCGGCCCCCCGCACAGTACAAAATCGCCCTCGCGGAGGGCGGCAAGGGGGTCGCCTGCAAAATTCCATGCCCCCTCGCCGCCCATTTGCAGGCGGCCCCCCGCACAGTACAAAATCGCCCTCGCGGAGGGCGGCAAGGGGGCCGCCTGCAAAATTCCATGCCCCCTCGCCGCCCATTTGCAGGCGGCCCCCCGCACAGTACAAAATCGCCCTCGCGGAGGGCGGCAAGGGGGCCGCCTGCAAATTTCGTTGACGGCCGTCGCCCGAGAGCGAACGGCCGTCTGCCACGTCATTTTCGCCGCCCTCTGGGAGGGCGATTTTTAAAAATCGCCTTCCCAGAGGGCGGTAGGCGACTACTTCCGTCAATTTTCAAAATGGAAAATTATTTTTGTAAAACTTTTAATAAAAAAATTAAAAATAAAAAAAATTCCACTCTGTTCAAGGGGAGCTTGCTACGTGGTTGGGCCAGTGGAGCGGAGGCCCATCTTGCCCGTTAAGCGATCAGTTAAGTGGAATTTTTTTATTTTTAATTTTATTTATTATTAAAATAATTACAAAAATAATTTTCTATTTAAAAAATTTACAAAACTAGTCACGCCATCGCCCTCGCCCTCCTAGAAGACGATTTTGCCGATATGGCAGACGGCCGTTGCCCTCCCATAACGGCCGGCCACAGGGGACACCGATTTTTTTTTGCAAGCAGTCCCCTTGGGACCGCCTGCAAAAGGGCGGTGAGGCGGCGTGGCATTTTTGCAGACATACTTAAGCCTTAGTCTCAAACTCTCAATGCTTCAATAGCATTTCTTATCTCTGTTGAATGTCAAAAAAAAAATCTTAACTTTGTGTTATAAAAAAAAACTACCTCTACTACTGTAAAAGTGGAGTCATCATACTTCTCCCACCACATAGAAAATTAAAAATAAAAAAACTGAAAGATAAAATTGAATCATATAAAAACCATTCGTCAGAAATCCTCCTAATGTAGCTATAAAGCGTGAGCATAGAACTATAACACCAAAATGCATCATTCCTGCAGGACTGCAGGTCCCCTCATAATACTGGAAACAAATCAAGGCTACTTCAGGGCGTTGACAGAAGGTTTGAGGGTTCTTTTGTCAGTTTTGTGCGAGAGCGGAAGAAGGTTTGGGTTTAGAGCATACCCCAAAACCGCCCGTACCTTTTAAAGGTTCAGTGCCTAAAATCGAAATCATTTGTAGGATAGTTGGATGTATTCATGTATATAGTATTCAACAATACATCATTCATGCTTTCGCACAAAAAAATCCTTCAACATGGCTAGATTTTTGGTTAAGGTCTAAAATGGTCTTGATAGCCATCGGATCAGGCAATCAAGATAAGATGAAAATGAAGATGAAGATTAAGTTTTTTACGCAAAACGAGGTGGTATTAACGTATGATTGATTGAGTTTTAATTAGTACAAACTTAAAAAATAGATTAATATGATATTTTAGAGCAACTTTCATATAAAAAGCTTTTGCACGAAACACACCATTTAGCGGTTTGAAAAATGTACCATAAAAATTTTAATCTTCATTCAATTCTTGTTAGAGAAAAGAACAGCACCAAACGTAACATCCAAACGCAGAAAGTACCAAGGAAGACCACAAGGATAGATGCGAAGGGGAACAACTATGAAAGTACAGAACATGGTGCTACAAGCCTCTTCAAGCTAGAGACTACTACTGCCTTGAAGCTTCAGGTTCAGTTGCTGTTGTCCACTGCTGCAAATTGCACTGCTTTGTTGGCAAGACAACAAAGAGTATCTAGTGTGTAAACTTGTTTCCCAACTTATGCACAAAATATTCATTGTCAACTTGATGACAGTATTCTAATTTGCTGGTGACTAGTGTGTGAATTATTATGGAGACTTGTTTCCTCTTTGGAGCAGAAAGTGAAAGAAAAACAAGTAGCAGAACTTCAGATAAAACACTATCCGGGAACTACTTTTGTTTTTCTGAAGGATCCAGAATAACAGATCGAGTTTCTGAACGATCAAAAAGAGAACTGTTATGTCAATCTAACAAAGTAGAGTGCGAAATCACCGGTGTTAAAAGGTGAAAATATTGGAAAATAACATGCTAGCCCTCCATACATGATTATATACATCGATCAAAGAATTGTTAACCCTAGATTCTGGAAGTGAAATCCAGAACAAAAAGAAGTTGTCCGTCCATATCCCGGAGGACCCGGACTACAACAAAAATGCGTGATGATCAGTATGATCACTGATCAGTCGCGGTTGCAGAGAAGCATGACAACGCATCGCCGGATGATGTACAGCCTCGCCTTGTGCTCCTTCAACATTCTGCCGAGGCCTCCTCTTCTCCCTTGGCTCCTTGGATTGCCCATACTGTTGGAGAAATCAGATCACACCTCTGAAGAAAAAAGACAGCCCTCCTTCACAAGTGTTTAGTGCTTAAGTGCTTCTGCTTAGCATGGTGATGCCTGTTGCATTTGGCGTGCTTATATAGAGGAGAAGCGCCCAAATCTCTAGCTCCTTTTCTTTAAAAGAAGCCTTCTATTGTCTAGCTGTAAACTACCAATAATATATCATACATTTTGATGTACTGGTAATATTTTTAGAGTGGGTAGCTGCAAGTACTCCACAGAGCACATGCCACGGTTTCTCAACTTGCACGAAGTGTGATGCAAGATCGATCTGGGGGACAACGCCTCTAAAAATTTTGTGGCCTATAATGCCTCATGAATCTTGCTCTGGGATTTGTTTAGCTATACGTATGGCTAACATTCCAACTTGTTTGACACTAACTTGGTTCTGTCTGGCCCTGGCCATACATATCTGAGTTTCTGTCCTCGGTTTTGCAAGATCCTGATGTGCTGAGATCGTCAGATTCCCCCAAATTAATGATCTGGAGGCTAACTTCTGGTCATCAATGATCTGCTGTGTTATTGATATGTCTGCAAAGATTGCAGACAAGTACATGATCGTAGATTGCATTTTGTTTCAAATCAGTCTATAGAGGTTTGTAACTTGCAAGCACCTCACCTAAAGGAATAACACAAACTAACGCAGGCGTCGGCAGTTTTGCGACCACATACTGTAGATGATGCATGTGTATCCCTACCTAATTCTTACCGGTTAATTAGTAGCAGCACCAATACTGTAGAGAGTAATAGCGGATTTTGGGTTCTTCTATTTGTTGGGCTAAATCATCGGACGTAATACGAACAATGACCACTGGTTGAATAGCAAGAGAAGATTGTAAATGTGTTACGGGTTGGCAATGAGGAGCTCATCAGCCATTAACAATTTATCTGGATTACATGTTTGCAAATTTATCTTTTGGGAGGGTTTTTAACACTCTCCCTTCAGCTTTGACAGCCTCTTGTCAAAGACTCAAAGTGCAAAACCTGTATAAAAACACTCTCTTTCTTAATGAAATTTGGCCGACCTACTCTTTGGCCGGCCCGGCATACATGTTTGCAAATTGCAACAATTAACAACAAGCTCTTGTTTGTACAGATTACAGACACGTACATGATATGGATTGCATTTCTTTAAAATCTATCTATAGAGGTTGCAACTTGCAAGCATTTCGCCTTTGTTTTCTGAAAGGGAATACGAACTAACCACACAGCCGTAGATATGCATGTGAAACCCTACCAAATTCTCGCCAGTCAGCACACTCTGGCAGTAGCGTCTCTCTCTATTTGCAGGACTAAATGGCACGTCACCTGAACACGAATCGCTGGTTGAATAATCAGACTGCAGAGAGGCTTGAGTGTGCTGTCAGTTGACTACTAGGAGTTCATAAGCCAGTTTAGTAGTAGTAACAGTTTTCTCACTTTTCTCTGGATTGCAACAACGGCAAGCGCTCTTCTTTGACCGGCTTTTAAAAGACACACAGAGCCGTGGTCACACAATTTGTTATGCCAACGTTAGCGTTTGTGCCCACCGAGGTTTTCAGTCAACTGGCTTGTGCGCCAATGTAGCGATTCTGTCCCGTAGACGAGTGATCGATGCGATGGTATAGGACGTACGTTAAACTTGAGGTGCCGGCCAAATCCCGTAGCCGTTTTAACTTCGTCCTGATGCGATGTATCCTGCATATGCATGTCCAAAATGGATGGATCGTGCTTAGCTCATGGGAGTAGCATCGATATATTGGCCCTGTTTGGATCTGGAGGGCTATTTAATAGCCTTTCAGAATCTTGCTATTTAAGAGTATTAAACGTAGATTATTGATAAAACCCATTCCATAACCCCTACGCTATTTTACGAGACGAATCTAACAAGGTATATTAATCCATGATTTGCTACAGTGATGCTACAGTAATCAGCCGCTAATCGTGGATTAATATACATCATTAGATTCGTCTCGCAAAATAGCCTAGGGGTTATGGAATCGGATTTATCGGTAATCTATGTTTAATACTTCTAAATAGCAAGATTCTGGAGGGCTATTTAATAGCTCGGAGCATCCAAACAAGACCATTGTATTATTGTGTGGCCAGTCAAAGAGTAACTTGGATAGGGCCGGTGGCTTGTTATATATATACTGGATTAGTTGCGCTCCTTAAATTTTCAGAACCATATGGAAGTGTACTCTCTCCGTCCAAGAAAAGACAAACTCTGGGTTTCCGTGTCCAACTTTGACTGTCCGTCTCATATGAAATTTTTTTATAATTCGTATTTTCGTTGTTGTTAGATGATAAAATATGATTAATATTTTATGCGATTAATATTTTATGCGTGACTTGTCTTTTTAATTTTTTTATATTTTTTAAAAATAAGACGGACGGTCAAACGTTGGGCACGAAAACCAGAGTTTGTTTTTTTTTGGGACGGAGGGAGTAGACGTGTATCATAGCAACCCTGACGAACTGATACTAACGTTCAGATCGATGGTTGATTGCACTGCACTGCAGATGAAAGAAAAAGATTCTTGCCGCTCGGTCAAGGCATGGAAGCAGACAGGACGTATTCGCAAACCTACAAAGAAAAGGTAATTAATGGCTCGCGATACGACGCATTGGTCAGCGATGACGAACAACAAGCGGGTTGACGGCTGTATCGGCATACCCGGCATCGGATGGCCGATGGCGGATGGCAACATTAGCTGCAGGATCCGATCGTGTATCCTGGACTGTTTCTAACCTCCCTGAACAAAACGAACGGACGTTAATAATCAAGCACCAGGCGGTTTGACTTTAAATGCCGGATGGACGAGCCGACGTATCGATGATCCATCTGGTTGCTGGATCGGGCCAGGAAAGTTTGCAGGTTGGTGCATGCGTTTGCACGGAACTCACCATGAGCTACCCACGGTCAAGGCGTCGTACGTACGCATTGCACGTACGTACAGCTCGATAGCTGCACTGGAACTGCACCTAGCTAGCGCCTAGCGCGACCTACATTGAACCTTCCAGCGTCCGTCCAAGTGTACGTACGATCAGAGCTAGCGCGCGCCGCGCGGTATATAAACACATCAACAAGCAGCCCCGACTCCATCGCGCACCCACACCGTCGTCAAAGTGTTTTTTTGGCATGCCAGCGCCCGGTTAATTAGCTGGCTCTCGCGCGCGGACGCATTTGCTAGTAGTTGCTAGCTAGCTCACTCGCTCTCGCGGCAGAGAGAGCCAGCGACGAAGGAGCGCGCGCCGCGCGGAGACCATGGAGCTCGTCGTCGCCAGGAGCCACGGGGCGAAGAAGCGCAGGGGCGCCAGCCAGCTCGGTGGCGGCTGCAGGGTCGCGCGGGGGAACGAGGCGAGGCTCCGCATCATCTTCCGCTGCGTCGCGCTGCTCGTGTGCTACCGCGACTGATTGGCCGATCGATACCTCTGGCACCGACGGACGCGGTCGGGCTGCCGCTTATTCTGTTTGTTTCGGTGTGCGTGTGTGTTCACAGTGTTGCTGTGTCCGTGTTCGTCTGATGGTGCGTGTGTCGTCGTCTCTCTCGTTTTTTTTCCTCGCCGGTGGCTTTTCCTACCGATGACGTCCTTCGTCTCTTTTTTGGGCCTTCTTTGGCGCAGGCGAATTAGAGGGTACATATACCGCATCTTCAGGCAACATGGATGTGATATACATGGTCAGATTTGATCATTTCACAAAAATGGGGAATAATTAAGCACTTGATAACAGAGTGCATATTTGCGTAGTTTACCTATTTGATCATGTGTTCATGTATTCCTTAAATTTTCAACGGTCTCGTGATTGTTTGCATGATAACTAACTTGATCCCGGAGAACTTCATCCCTAGGAAGGGGCTTGAACACCAACATAAGTTAATATAACTTTGTGTTACTCCCTCCGTGTCCTAAAATATAAGCATTTTAGCATAGTGACACGTCAAAACATTTTAAACTTTGACTATTAATAGCAAAAATATATAAAAAATCAATCATGTAAAATTGATGTTACTAGATTTATCATTGAACAAACTATCATAATATGCAACTCTTTTTATTTAAAACACCTTAATTTTATAGATATTATTGGTCAAAGTAACATTTTGAAGACCGTGTCAGAGTTCAAAAATATTTATATTTTGGGACGGAGGGAATAGGAACCAGCTGGGCTGCAACTTGGAGTGGATCATCTACTTTTCAAGAAGTCCAAGCGAACCCAAGAGACAACTATACATAAGAAGCAGCAGCACTTCCAGGAAATCATCGAACAAATCAATTGGCGAGCGGAAGCTCTTGGCGGTGGTGACGACTTGGGTGGTCGGGGGCTCCCTTGTCGATTTCTCCCTACCTCCCTTTTACCACTACTTGTTCTAGAAGCTTCTGGCACCTTCCACCACTTGTATCTTCCTATTTGTTCCCCATCCAAATATCTCCTATGTACTAGACTTTGCTGCTACTTGTACGGCTAGATTGTTAGTTGAGTTGGTGCTGAGATTGGTTGATTTGGGTTGCTAGCAATCTGGTGTCAGAGCTCACCAAGCCTACCAAACAAGCTACCATGGCAAGTGAGGATAAATTTGACACGCTTTTGAGGCGGATTGAGGAGTTCAAGTGAAGGCGGGTGGAGGCAGATCAGACGAGCGCTGATTTGCTATCTCTCAAGACGGTGGTAGAAGCGTGGATGACCAAAGTCCAGAAGAATGCCGAAGACTTGCAAAATTCGGTTGGGACAAGCAGTCCAAGGTGACGCCCACCATGTGTTTGACAAAATGCTCTAGCTCCGACGTCAAGCCCAATTCCCCTATTGTTTGTGGTGGTCACGTAGGCCACGACTGACACGACCTCTATGGAACTAGTAGTTGTTGAGAATGCCATCCGTGCAATCTACATCGACAATCGTTACTAAGTAACTCGTTGATCAGCGAGTGGAATCATGATGAGCAACTCGTTGATGTTATCATAGATGAGGCCTTTCACAGTGCTCTACCCTGGACCGGTGCTATGGGGCGACACGGAGGATTTTGTCCGACATGTCGCGTGGAACCAGGACCAAACTTGGTTGCTCGTCCCCAAGCAGAGCAACGCGCAACCTTGCTCGGTCGAATCCACGCGCCGCCAGAAAAACACGAGGAGCGAGCGCTGTGGGCGTCGATGCTTGGCCGCCCGTGACCTCGCGCACGCAGCACTCGGAGAAATTCCAGATTCGCCCACGAAAAAATCCCTTCCCGCGCCTGCGATTCATCCTACCGCCACCGAGTCCTTTTGCCCGCGCCGGCATCGGCCTTGCCGCCATGAGGACAAAATCCATGGCGGCCTCGGCATCGATTGGAATGGCGTCGGAGCAGCTACCACCCATCTCAAGAACCCAAATCTCACTCACAAAGGATCCCCCATTCCCACAAGAAATCAAATCTCATTACATTACACAAAACCAAGAAAAGATTCCTCCACTCCCGTGCCGAGATCCGACGCCGAGCTACCAACAAAATCACAAAAGAAAATCAAGTCACACAAAATCACACAAGAAAAATCAAGAACACAGAACGCCGAGGCGAGGCGGCGGCGTCGACCACGCTGCCCGTTCTTGAGCCGCCGCCAAGAACGTTGAGGAGGAGCGCGCCCTCCTCCCGGTCGCCGCCTTGGCCAGGTCAACGCCGAGCTCTGCCGCCACGCGCACCGAGATCCGCCGCTGCCACCGCCACGCCCCTGGCCGCGCCGACCCCTCCCTGCCTCCGCATGGCGGCGGACTGAAGCTGCTGCCACCCCTGAGCAGAAACTGAACCCCACCTGACGGAGCGTGGGGCTCCTCACCGGGAGACCGCGCAGGTCCCCCTTTGCCGGTTCGGCCGGGGGCGCTAAGTGAGGTTCTTCACCCTCGATCTGGGAATGTTCGCGAGAGAGCCAATGCACAAGACACGGGCGATGTAGACAGGTTCGGGCCGCTGAGAAGCGTAATACCCTACTCCTGTGTTATGGTGGATCTGTGTGTGAAGGAGTTACAGAGAGCTGGAGAGCAAAAGAGTTCAGGCTCTAGAACCCCTCTTCCTCTTTCTGTCCTCTACGAGCTCAGGTATTCTCAGAGTCGTCCCCCCTATTCTTGTTCTGGATCTCCCTGAGCTCAGGTATTCTCAGAGTCGTCCCCCCTATTCTTGTTCTGGATCTCCCCTCTCTTTCTTCGGTGGGCAAGGTCCTCCTTTTATATCTCAAGGAGATACCACATGCACCACTTCTACCTACCCTTCTTTTGGGTGGGGATCCACCCTATCTTGATCAGAACTTGGCTCGCGCCTTTGCTTGGAAGCTAAATCACAGCTTGTCCTTGAGTGAGGCCCAGCGCCGTCACTCGCCTGACACAGGGGATCACCCTGTCATTCCTCCATTAATGGGCGGAGATTTGCAATGGCCGCTATCCGAATGACCCTCCGATGGGATGGGTCATACCTACCTCCACTTCGCCGGAAGCAGATGCAACGTGGGAGCACGGTTTGTCTGCTGATGACGTGACCGGCGTCAGACCAGTCACAGACCGGTCATTCTTGTCCACCACGTGTCAGTTTAGCATGCCGCACGTCTGTCCTTCTTCATACAATGACTTCTTTGCAATGGTTGCGATGAAGCCTGGAATGTATCTGGCCGGGACTGGCGTGCTAACTCCAGGAGTTAGCACACCGGCTCCGGCTAGGGACGAGTGCCTGGAGGCTCTCATCGTTCCGACGGGACGGGGCGATGCGTGTGACAGGCCGCCTGCTGCCACCTAACCCGCGATCCGACCGATCTGTGACCGGTCACATATTGCGACCGGTCACGGACCGGATAAGCGAGCGCGCTGCGCTGTATTAAATGCGGCGTGGCGCGCTCGTCCAACCCGCAATAAATGCGGTTAGGTGAGCGCCGCTGTGCTCACCTAACCCGCACAAGTGGCGCCAACACCACAGGGGGTCGGGGCGCCCCAGCCCTCGGGGCCGAAACGGGAGCGGCCCGACCCCTCGGGGAGACAGAGGGAGGGGTGGCCACGTCACCCTCGGGCCCGACCCCCCCGAGGGGGTCAGGCCACGTGGGTGAGCGCGGCTGCCCAAGCCTCTAGTCACGATACTCCCGGTCCCATGTCACCGACAGTAGCCCCCGGCGTTATGCCAGGGCGATCGCCCCCCTCGAGGGAAGCGCTCGGGCGTGACGCCACTCCTTAGGCCTGGTGACAGGTGGGGCCGGTCTCTACAGGCGGGCAGAAAGCCAGCCATCGCAAATCGTGCGCATCGGTAAGGGAAAACCAACTGAAAATAATGAGCGGCCTCTTCGCGACCGCTACATTACTCGAGCAGCGCGCGAATCGGGACGAGCTGATTCGTTTCGCCTGGAGACATGATGATGGCGCTTTGGTCGGCGAGCGTAGTTAACGCGCGCACGATATGTCCCATCTCGGCTGCCACGGCCGCACATCTGCCTCGTGCGCCGCAAACGGGCGAGCGGAATTAGTGGAGGTGTGGGCGCGAGAAACGAGGGGGCGAGATAGTGGGCGCGGGAAGCGAGGAGCCGGGCATAGCGTTGGAAAGGGTATAAAGACGCCGAGGAAGAGATTCGTTTCCTTCCTCTCGCCACTATTCCCCTTGCCTTCGCCACTTGCGCTCCAACTCTTCGTTTCCTGTGCCCTACCCTCGCCGCACTCGCTCGCTCTCAAGCTCCTCCTCCGCCGGCGTCATGGCACGGGGCTCCGCACCGCTCGACGGTAGCGTGCTGCCGCCTTCCCGCATCGTGAGCGAGAGGCAGGCCGGGCTGCCGCGCCGATTTATGCCGGAATCTGCCACCGGCCGGGAGGTGGTCGAGCTGGGCGAGGGACGCCCGGCGCCACACTACCCGGGGCGGTCCGTCTTCTTCCTCTCTTTCGCAATGGCAGGGCTGGTCCCGCCATTCTCTTCTTTCTTCATGGATGTTCTGGAGTTTTATGATCTCCAGATGGCGCACCTCACCCCCAACGCGGTAATGACGTTGGCCATCTTCGCGCACCTGTGCGAGATGTTTATCGGGGTGTGCCCATCTCTTCGGCTGTTCCGGTGGTTCTTCACCGTATAGCCGGTGTCGCCGCCGTCGGTAGTCGGTGGCTGCTACTTCCAGCCGCGGGGGCCGGTGCTGAGCCGCTACATTCCCTGCGTCCTCCGCAAGAAGTGGGACGACTGGAAGAGCGACTGGTTCTACACCCCCCTCGCCGACGAAGCGCGCCTCCGACTTCCGAGCCAGCCCCCGGCGCAGGCCTCCAGCTGGCGGGCGCCGGTAGATCTGGGAGACGGCTACGACGCCGTTCTTGACCGCCTGGCGGGTCTGCGATCCCAGGGGCTCACGGGGGCCATGGTGTACGGCGACTACCTTCGTCGCCGGATCGCGCCGCTCCAGCGGCGCGCCCGGGGCGCCTGGGAGTACACCGGGTCCGAGGACTACATGAGGACCCACCAGGGGGGCAGATGGGACTGGGCCCCTGAGGACTTCAAGATGGTGGTCCAACGGGTGCTGAATCTCAGCTCCGTGGAGGCATCCCTCATCCCCCAAGGAGTCCTCCCCCTCTGCAGCGATCCAGATCGCGCCAACATCCTGACCATCATGTAGGCGGTCGGGGCGTCGGGGGAGCGAGCCCCCCGAGGCCACGATGGCGCGGGCGGGAGCCGCAGGGGGAAACAATCTACCCCGGGAGGGGGTCATGCTTCTGGGCCCCGCGACGGGGGCCCGGGGGGCAGCCGCCCTGCCGACGCCCGGGGGAAGAGGAAGCAGGAGGGTACCCCTTCCCCATCTCCTCCCCGAGGGGGCGGGGCAGTGCGTGCCAGCAGCAGGCGCCCAGAGGGTGTCGTGCCGACGTCGCAGCCCGAGGGGGAGCGAAAGAAGAAACGGCTCCGCAAGATGGGGGGGACCGAGTCATGCCGGGGGAACCTCATCTCGCCCCCGAGGTGGTCGTTTAACCGACCTCCCCGCAGGTTTGTTCCCGCGCCTACCACGGCCGTATTCATTCTCCCATCTCCCAAGGCGAGTTTTCACTCACTCGTTTCTTTTTGTCCTCTGGTTTTTCTTCTGCCTCAGCGAGATCCCGTCGTGCCCCTCCCGCCATTCCAAGTCCGGCCGGTCCGAGGCCGAGGAGACGGCGGCCGCGGAGGCCCGGAGGCGGGAAGCTGACCGGCGAGAAGCCGCGGACCGCCTCCGGGAAGCCGAGGAAGCTGCCCGGGAGGCCGTCCGGGTTCGCCAGGCTGAGGAAGCCGCCCGGGAGGAGGCCAGACTCCGCCGGGCCGAGGAGTCCGTCCGGGAGGCGGAGGCGGCGCGCGCACGCCAGGCGGCCTACCAAGCCCCCGACCCGACTCCGCCCGAGGCGACGACGACTTCCGAAGCCACCCACGACGAGGCCGCGGGCACACCGCTCGGGTCCGACCCCTCGGACGATGTTCGGGACGAGCCAGCTTCGGGGGACGCCCCCGAGTCCGGCACGTCGATCGGCGGGCCGAGCCGCGCGGCGCCCACACCGAGGCGGCTCTCCCCTCTGCCTTCTGCCGCCCCACCGAGCGCGGAGCCCCTCCCGCAGGCCTTGGCCGCCGCGAACACCACGGTGTTGGACGGGTTAAGCGCCCAGATGGAGGTCCTGCAGGCGGAGCGGGCGGAGCTCGACGCGGCGTGGGCGCGCGTCGAAGAGGGGCGACGCTCGGTGGAGGCCATGGTGGAGGCGGGCCGCAAGGCACACCGCCGGCACGCCTCAGAGCTCGAGGCCCGTCGGAGGGAGCTGGCGGAGATCGCCAAGGAGGTGGAGGAGGAGCGGGAGACTGCTCTCATCGCCACCGCCGTGCTCGACGAGGTACGGGACGACCTCCGCCTCCAATACGGGAGCCGGGCGGCGGAGCTAGAGAAGAAGCTCAACACCGCTCGGGGAGTCCTTGACGCCGCCGCTGCCTGGGAACGGCGGGCGGCGGAGAACGAGGCGGCGTCCCGGCGGCGCGAAGAGGCCCTTGAGGCTCGCGCCACGGCGCTGGAAGAGCGCGCCAGCGCAAAGGAGAGGGACCTGGCGGACCGCGAGGCCGCTGTCGCCATCCGGGAGGCAACACTGGCGGCGCACGAGGCCGCCTGCGCCGAAGAGGAGTCCGCACTCCGCCTCCGCGAGGATACGCTCACCGAGCGGGAGCGAGCTCTCGAGGAGGCCGAGGCCGCGGCGCAGCGGCTGGCGGACAGCCTGTTCCTCCGCGAGGCAGCGCAGGAGGAGCAGGCGCGCCGCAATCTGGAAGGCGCCCGCGCCGAGAGGGCCGCACTGGCTCGGCGGGCCGCTGAGCCCGAGGTGCGGGCAAAGGAGCTGGACGCGAGAGCGCGCAGCGGCGGGGCGGCCGCGGGCGACGGCGACCTAGCCGCCCGCCTTGCAGCCGCCGAACATACCATCGCCGATCTGCAGGGCGCGCTGGACTCGTCCGCCGGGGAGGTCGAGGCCCTCCGCTTGGCAGGCGAGGTAGGGCCCGGCATGCTTCGGGACGCCGTCTCCCGTCTAGACCGCGCCGAGCGGCAGGCGGGCCTCTGGGGCGAGCGGACCGCGAAGTACGCCGCCAACCAGGGGGGCCTCGCCCAGCGCCTCTCAGAGATGGCTGGGACCCTCCAGCGGCTCCCCGAGGAGCTCGAGGAGACGATCAAGTCATCCTCGAGAGACCTCGCCTGGGGGGCAGTGGAGCTCGTACTGGCAAGCTACCAGGCCAGGGACCCCGACTTCTCCCCGTGGGCAGCGCTGGACGAGTTCCCTCCCGGAACCGAGGACGGCGCGCGCGCGCAGGTCCGGGACGCCGCCGACCACATCGTCCACAGCTTCGAGGGTACGGCCCCTCGGCTCGCGTTCGCCCTCGACTCCGACGAGGAGGGCGGTGACGGTGGTGTGGATGACAGCGACGACGAGGCTGGCGACCCGGGCGCGTCGAAGTGAGCCCCCAGGCCCCTGCCAATCTTAAATAGCTCTTTCTTTCTTCTTCCGAGGCCTTCGGGCCCCCTTCTTGTATAGACCAATTTAATCTGCAATCAAATAAAGAGGAAATTTCTGTGTCAATTCTATTTGTTGTGTGTATGAGACGAGGATGGTCTGTGCCGCGGTCCTTCTGTGTCTTGGCTTGAACAAGGGCTCGTGCCCAGGTCCCAGCCTCAAACGGCGGGGGTCGGGGCTAGTGCCTGGGGAGATCCATGTGTCGAGACTGGCCAGGCCGGGAGCGTGGTGACCGAGGGTTATGGATGACCCGATTGTGGGCCTTTGCCGATTCCCCCCCGGAGTTCACCACACCCCGGGGCACGGCTCGGTTCTGGGCCCCTTTTGGCGATTTTAGACGGCCCGAGCCACCGAGGGCAGGATCGAGCACAAGCGTGCTAATTCAAGCCAAGATTCTTCAAAAAGGAAACAATGGCACAGACACAGTCCTTAGGAAATCGAAAATGTTTTTATTGAAATATGGAAGAGAAAAAAGGTAAGTATATGCATGTGGTAGCCCCCGGCCAACCCTGCACGCCCGGGGGGGTGCGGGGTTGGCCCGAGCCCGAGACCTGACACCCGACCCCCACTAGGGGTAGAAGCGACGAAGGTGTTCGATGTTCCACGGGTTAGGCAACTCTGTGCCATCGCCCGTGGCCAGCCGAACGGAGCCCGGCCGGGGGACGCCGATCACTTGATACGGACCCTCCCACATTGGTGAGAGCTTGCTCAGTCCAACACGCGTTTGGACGCGGCGTAGGACGAGGTTGTCGACGCAGAGTGATCGGGCCCGGACGTGGCGCTGATGGTAGCGCCGCAGGCTCTGCTGGTAGCGCGCGGCTCGGAGGGCCGCGCGCCGCCTTCGCTCTTCCAAGTAGTCGAGGTCGTCTCTGCGAAGCTGATCTTGATCAGTCTCGCAATATATGGTGGCCCGTCGGCCAATAGAAACCCTGGCGAAAGGCCTTGCCAACCAAGGTGCGTGAGGCGGAGTGGGCTCCGCACTCACCTTCATGAATATCGGCGAGAAGCTCGACGCCTTGTTCCCGAGGAATGCACTTCAGGAGGACTCCGTTAGCCGCGCGCCGATACAGGGTCCCTTCTACCAGCACGTAGCGCTTGGAGATGCGCTGGACGCGTTCACTCCCTTTGCGGTCCTCGGGTAGAGTCTTATCTGTGAGGTACGCCTGGATCTCAGCGATCCAAGCGATCAATCTAAGGGAGCTGGGAGTGCTCCCCTCGGGTCCCGAGGCCTGGACTCCGACGGGCCTCGGGGGCCGTTCAGGCGCGTCCGTCTCCCCTAGGGGGTCGGGTCGCGCCGACGGCTGGGCAAGCCTTTCTTCAAAGGCGCCCGGTGGGGTCTGGGCTCGCGAAGAAGCGAGCCTTGAGAGTTCGTCGGCGACCGCGTTATCCCGTCTGGGCACGTGCCGAAGCTCTATCCCGTCGAAATGGCGCTCCATACGCCGCACCTGGCGCACGTAAGCATCCATCTGCGGGTCGGAGCACCGGTACTCCTTACAGACCTGGTTAACGACCAGCTGGGAGTCGCCTAACACCAGGAGGCGGCGGATCCCCAGTCCAGCTGCCACCCTGAGGGCCGCAAGGAGTCCCTCGTACTCCGCCATATTATTGGTTGCCCGAAAGTCGAGGCGAACCAGGTATCTGAGGACGTCTCCGCTCGGCGAGGTCAACGTGACCCCCGCCCGGCGCCCTGAAGAGACAGGGAGCCGTCGAACTGCATCACCCAGTAGGCGGTGTGAGGCAGCTGCGCGGGGCCCGAGCTGGCCTCGGGGACAGAGACGGGCTCGGGAGCTGGGGTCCACTCTGCCACAAAGTCGGCGAGGGCCTGGCTCTTGATCGCGTGGCGTGGTTCAAAGTGCAAATCGAACTCAGAGAGTTCGATTGCCCATTTCACCACTCGTCCAGTACCCTCTCGGTTATGCAAGATTTGGCCGAGGGGGTAAGATGTAACCACTGTGACCCGATGCGCCTGGAAATAATGGCGCAACTTCCTCGAAGCCATCAGAATAGCGTAAAGCATCTTCTGGGCCTGAGGGTATCGGGTCTTGGCGTCCCGGAGGGCCTCGCTGACGAAGTAGACGGGCCGCTGCACCTTTCGGCGGGGCCGATCCTCTTCGCCAGGGGCCGCATTCCCAGGGCGCTCTTCGTCCGAGAGGCCACGCGGGGCGCACTCGGCTTCTGTGCCAACGACCTCGGGGTCGGAGGGCGACAGGCACCGTCGGACAAGCGGGCAGAGGGCCAGCTCCGGCTGTCGGGGGCCTCGGGCCGCCGTTCGGCTCGGGAGCCTCTCCTCCCTGCTCTCTCCCGGGTCGAGTCGACACAGGGTGGGGATGCGCGGAGTGAGGGTTGTTCTCGTCGCGCTCCACGACCAACGCCGCGCTGACCACCTGCGGGGTTGCCGCCAGGTAGAGTAGCAACGGCTCATCTGGCCCCGGGGCGACCAGGACTGGGGGAGAACTGAGGTACGCTTTCAACTGAGTGAAGGCCCGCTCGGCCTCCTCCGTCCAGGTAAACGGCCCGGAGCGTTTGAGGAGCTTAAATAGGGGTAGCGCCTTCTCTCCCAACCTCGATATGAACCGACCTAGGGCGGCCATGCAGCCTGTGATGCACTGCACATCCCTAAGCTTGCTGGGGGGGCGCATCCGCTCTATAGCTCGTATCTTCTCGGGGTTGGCCTCGATGCCTCGGGCAGAGACCAAGAACCCGAGAAGCTTGCCCACAGGCACACCGAACACGCACTTGTCGGGGTTCAGCTTTATGCGGGCGGAGCGGAGACTTTCGAAAGTTTCCGCTAGATCCGAGAGTAAGGTCTCTTGGTTGCGCGTGGTTACCCAAAGAAATTCGAGTAGTACGTTGAAAAGTAGGACCTGCATTCTTTAACCCGAAAGGTATTGTCGTATAACAATAAGTTCCTATGAGGGTAATGAATGCAGTTTTTTCCTCATTCTCCCTAGCCATGCGAATCTGATGATAACCAGAGTATGCATCTAGAAAACACAAAAGGTCGCACCCCGCGGTGGAGTCGACAATCTGATCTATGCGTGGCAGGGGGTAAGGGTCCTTAGGACATGCCTTGTTGAGGTCGGTGTAGTCGATGCACATCCGAAGCTTGCCGTTCGCCTTGGGGACGACGACCGGGTTCGCCAGCCATTCCGGATGGATGACCTCATGGATGAATCCGGCCTCCAGAAGTCGCGCCACCTCCTCGCGGATGAAGGCTTGACGTTCCGGGGCCTGCCGCTGCACTTTCTGCCGGATCGGCCTTGCGCCTGGCCGCACGGCGAGACGGTGCTCAATCACCTCCCTAGGGACCCCGGGCATGTCCGCCGGTCTCCAGGCGAAGACGTCGGCGTTTGCCCGCAGGAAGGAGACGAGCACGTCTTCCTATTTGTCGTCCAGAAGACCACTGATTCGTGTGGTCTTGGACGGGCCGTCGCCCAGGGCAACCTCCTTGACCGAGACCTCGTCGCATGTGATCATCCGCTGCCTCGGGGCGGCTGGGACGGAGGTGCTGAGTCTCTCGTCGCCACCCGCGGGCTTGGACACCGCGGCGAGGTGGTCCGCGCGCTGCTCCATACAAGCAAGCGCGACTTTGAGGTCGCCATGGACGGTGATGGGGCCACCGGGGCCCGGCATCTTCATCTGGAGATAGGCGTAGTGGACCGCCGCCATGAACTTCACCAACGCGGGCCTCCCCAGGATCGCGTTGTAG